ATAATTGATAGAGAACGACCAGTCTCGGTCTCCTTTGCAATCTTCTCTGATTACTTAAGTGACTAAATCCTCTCTTATGCTAATGCTAGATCCCCAGAAAATCGAATTCCATATGCCTATGGTAGAAATTTCCAGGTGATAATAGCATCCAGTCAACTATGCCTACCAAGTCCATATACACCCGGATGCTTCTAAACAATAATCACATGCGACCATGATTCTAATGCTTAGACTGCTAAATAGTTGCCTGTTTGTAAAGGGAATATAAAAAACTATCTTATTAGCACCAGAGGTCCTCTAAGACCTAGAATCTTGTGCTTGACACAATAGATGAATGTATGGATTGTGGTAAGAACTGTAAGAGCCCCAATAAAAGTATTCCATAATAATGATGATAATAAGACCTAGAATCTATCTACCTAATTCATATTGGGTTTTTCATCTTGCTCAGCAACTCAACTATCCATGTCTCGTCAAGACACATCAAGAAACCTTTTCCATTTTTCTGACACTGCTTCCACTTGAATGTTCCCTTCTCTATAGTCAACATCTCATCTTCTAGTAAAAGTAGGTTCTCACAGGTAAAACTCATCACTGCCATCTTTCTGGTACTCTGAGAATACTTCATACTCTGTTTTTTATTGTCAGTTGTCTTACCTTACTAAACCAGAAGTTTCTCAAAGGAAGAAATTTTTATTTGTAAGCTTTATTATCTCCAGGTTCATAGATCTAACCTAATTGAAGAGGAACCAAACGGAAAACCAAAATCACTGCCATCCAGTTGATGCCAATTTCCTAGCAGGCCTATAGGACAGAGAACTGGCCCTGTGGGTTTCTGAGACTGCAACTCTGTAAAGGACTAGAAAGCCCTTGGTTCTCCTATGGACTGTGACTGTATGGGGGAGAAAGCCTCTTCTTTATCCCTTGGAGCAGCTGGTGGTTTTGAACTGCTGATCTTGCCGTTAGCAGCACAGTAACCACTAAGCCACCAGGACTCCTAAGAGGGGAACACATAGGACCCCCCGCCCCCCAAAAAGGGAAAACACGAGAAATGGTCCAGCTCTTATTAAACCTAATACAATAAACACATGCTAGAGTCTATATTTAAATAAATGCATAATGTTAACTTAATGAACTACAGGTTCATCTTTGTTTCATATTGACTTCTCCAACATGGTGAAAAGTCTCTCACTAATTGTTAAAAGCAAACATGCTAGGCTTAATTTTTGTCAAATATAGGTAGGCTTGCCTTACTTTCTTTGCCCCCAAAGCTACAGCAACATATTTCAATGAGATTGCTGCTCTGAGTTCATTATTTACTTCCTGGAAAAGTTAGCCTTTGCTTGGAGAATACATTCAAGTGCCTTTTTTTAGGTGTAGAAAAGTGCAGAGTTTTAACATGATTAAAAAAGAAAGTAAAGTGCAGAGTTGACAAAATGTGTGGCTCTGGCTATGAAAATTCCACAATTTGATAAAGTGGCAACTACTGTTACAGCTATTAGTTGCTGCTCTGAACGCACTGTTTACTTTCTGGAAAAGTTAGCCCACGTTTATAGAAGACATTTATATGCATATTTTAGGCTTGGGAAAGAGCAGAGTTGACAGAATGAGTGGCTCTGGCTATGAAGGTTTCACAATTTGATAGAAAGTGGCAACTACTGTTATAGTTATTAAAGCACTTTTGAAATGCTCTGGACCTAATGGCCACATCCTGAATGCACTAATCATGGAACTTGACTCTGGAACGATATACTGTCACCTTTGCCTTTTTAAAGAGGACAAGCATACTTCTGCAACAAACAATTCAAAACATACTCAGAAATCATGTTTAAAAGATGTCCCATTAGTAGTCGGTAAATTAACAGAAGAACATCAAGCATTTTTAAGACTGGGATACAACTATTTTTGGGGGGTCACTATCAAGGATTAATTAAAGAACAAGGAACTCTTAGCAACATACTAGGACGAGACCAACCTCCTCCAAAAAATGTTTTCTGAATGTTAATGCAAATAAACAATCAAAAATAAAAATAAGCAAAATAAGGGGAATGAACTATCGCTAGCCTCAAACTGAATTCTTGTCTGAATAAGTGTTTAAAGATGGGAAGCTGCGGTAAGAAAATCTGTGTGAAACAGAAATATTACATGCATGATGAAGAATCATCTCAGGATGCTCTCCTGCTGGCTGACCCAAGTCTGCAAGTCTAGAAAGGAAAAGTGGTTTGCTTACTAGGATTAAGAATGATTTCATGAGAAAGTGGTTTTAAACTGACAAAGTTGTTGACACTTGGAAATATAGCATCAAGGAAGAGATATAGAAGGCTCACTTTAATATGGGCAATTATGCTAATGAAGGTCACATTAAATTTGCACATTAAAATCTTAGAGAAAGCCTCAACTTGACTTGTGCAAATTAGAAACTAACTGCCCAAGTTCCTATCACCTGAAAGAAAAAGTAGAGGATCAGAGCCCAGATTCACCTGCCGGAAACCCAAGAATGCTCTTACAGATTGTATTATACTGCCTCCTACCGGTAAGCAAAAGTTGCAGGGCAACAAGTGACAGGACCCTCCAAGGTAGGAGGAAACAAGATAAACAGCTAAACAAGATAACCACTCAGTCACTAAAAAGAAAGAGATGTTAGGCAGTACTTGGAATAAAAAATACCAAGACAACCACTCCCCCACCAAACTAATTAAGGTTAGAATGACACTACAAACATCATTACATAAAGGATTAAGATAAATTCTGCATGGAAACACCCAAAGCCCCTTCAAGGGTACCAAAGCATAGCTTTTGATTGGACACCCTATATACACTGTCCCCAGTCCAATTGAAAGAATGTTCTAAGAGAATGTTTCTAAGAGAAAGGAAAAGACTGCAGATTATAGCTATAGGAGAGGGTAAAAATGGGAGGGAAAGGGTATTTCAGAGAGCAAGCTTGGGAAAGGTTTTACCTAGGAATGATGATTTATGCCCAGGGGAGTATACCACTATCATATGGTTAACAGACTAATTCCCCTACCTCTGACGAATGAAATGCTTTGGTGGCACAATGGTTAAACACTGAACATCAAACCCAAAGGCTGGTGGGCTTTTTGTCTCGGTGTGGCGCGCAATGGCTGGCCACATGTCATCAGTTAGGGAGAAAGACATGGCAGGTCTGCTGTAAAGATTGACAGCTTTAGACATCCCAGGGGGCAGTTCTACAATATATAGGAGTGTTAGGAGTTAGAATCCATTCAATAGTAAGAACCATTTGAGCAGCTTTCTAATTATAATTTGAGTTAACTGATTCACTGACTGTAAAAAAGCTCATTCTAATTGTCTTTTTAAGTTTTTTCTTTAAATTTCCAAGTCCTTGGATAAGTTTTCATTTCCTAAGTCTCCCCTCCCACCCACCCCTCCCCCCACACACCGAGTCAGCCACTTATCCAAATAATTTCAGAAAGAAGTTATGAAAGACTCACTCCTGTAACAAGAGTAAAAACAATGCCTATCAGAGTAAGGGAAACGTGCACTTGGCACATGAAAGACAAACTCAATTTCACTCCATTGCCCAGGTCCACAAAGTCAATGATCGCAGAAAATTGAGACCTGAATCCAAATTTACTCCAAAATCCATTCCATTTGAACTTTCTTTGTAGGCTCGACTGAGTTGTCACTAAGAGGTTTCAAGACTTTAAATGATTTGCTTAAAAGACTTTCAGGACTGTAAACGTTTTCTGGGCCTTATATCTTCGCATGGATTTTGGCAACTAAAGTTTGTTCAAAAACCGCATTGGCCGCTGTGAAAAGCATAGCCCAGTGCTTTAACGCTAAAGCTTTAACTTCACTGAGTGGTGCCTAATTAGCTCCTTTCAAAATGTGCTGAGTGGCACTCAATAAATGGAACACATGGAGGGACCAATAACATAGAAGAGGTGACTGTAAAATCAATGACGGGCTACCAATACAACGAATGAACTCCACTCACCACCTCAAGTTACCTGAAAGAACTGATCAAGATCTAAGTGGTTTGAAAGGAGTTTCCAAAGTGATAATGCTAATATCTTCAGACTGGAAATGTTAAAACAAGGACTGGAGAACAGTTTACTTGTTTTGTAATTAAAATGTTATGGTTTCTGGTAGTTTAGTAAGTAAATTCTGTATCAGGTCAAATCAATTATTTGATACAAACAACTTATTTGTGCTAAGCATTAATCTAGTGGTAACTTTAAGCACTTAATGCAAAATGCCATTTACAAGCAACATTTTTCCAATTAGAAAAGCTCAATACAATAAATATGGGCCTGAGAAAACCTGTTAAATAAAAACTACAATAATTTGCCAAAGCAAGCCTCTTCTTTCCCAAGAAGTTCGACAGAAATGAACTGAGTAAAATGATTTCCAAGAGGAATGTTAATCCCAAATAGCTCCCTCTACACATCTACAAACATCGCTTATTTTACACCCATCTGATCTGATATCAAGAATGCTCTGGCTGGACGTTTTCCTGAAAGGGGCTAGAATGTCAAAGGGTTATTAGAAACGTGGTTAATTCATTCTTCAAAGAGGTGCCAGATTTGCCTTTCATCAGAGCCCCCAATGTTAAAGGGCTAGGCACACACACGACGGCTTCTACTTAAAAATCACAGCTAATCACCATTTGCACCGCAAAGTCAACCTTTCAGGTTCAAAACGGCAGTCTCACTTTCGGGTGCTTTCGATTCACTCTCCGGAGACAGAGAAGAAATCTGTGTCAATCACACAAACAGAAAAGGCGAAAACCGAGCTCCGCGCAGCGATTAGCAAATTGTCACAGACACACACACCCCCACCCCCCACGCCCCGGCACCACCAAACTTTGGAAAACTTGTTCCCAGGCTTCCCCAACCCTCGCGCGTCGGCTCCCGCTAGCGGGGGCCGTGCCCCTGACCCCCCACGCACAAAGCGGGGGGTTCGGCGGCTACAGCCTTTCGCGACGGAGTCTGAAAGTCGGAGGAGGGTATATACTGTACCTGGGCGTTGGCTCTGTGCTCGCTAGAGACGTGGTGCCTCAGGAGGAGCGTTTTCTTGTAGTTGCGGGTCCCTCGCGAAAGCTCATCGTGCCCCACTGGCGGAAGGTCCTCGCTCCCCGCATCCTCAGGGGTCTTTTGGCACCAGCCGCACGACATAAGGCCAGTCTCCTTGCAATAGCGCAGCCAGGGGAAATCTTTGAGCCAGGAACTCTGGAAGGAGCAGCTCAGCTTCTGCATGAGGGACTTGGGGCGCGCCAGCGGGAAGTGCTGGACAGTCTCGCCTTCGCCAGCTCCCACACCGCTGCCCGCCACTTCGTCCCCGCCATCGCCGCCCGGCCGCCGGCAGCAGCCGCCTTCCGCGCCGCCCGGGCTCGCCCCCTCCTCGTCCTCCGTGCTGTCGCTCTGGGACGCGCCGTCCGGCATCAACTCCTTCCCCTCCAGCGCGTCCAGCTCCAGGTCCGCAGCCGCCGGCCCTCGCCCATTGAAATGCCTCGGGGGC